CCCCCCCGCGCCTCTGTTCACCAGCCCTCCTCAGCCACAGCCAGGCCCGATCGAACGCCACAGCTCTTGGGCAGGCAGCTGGGAGGGGAGATAACACAAGCCAGACCTTGCCTTCTCCCACCGCTTCCCAGGAAAGAATCAGCTTTTCCCGGGAGGGTACAAAATAACCCCGTGAGACCGAATGCCACCCGAGGCGGGCAGCAGAGACAAGCTCCAGACAAACCAGCTAGCACCGCTGGAAATCCCCGCTCCCCTTTTATCGCACAGGACCAACAAAACCCGTGACGGGCAGGACCCGCAGCCCAAGCTCTCCCTCCAGAGCCACACCTCTACGAAACCCACTCTGTTTTAGCAAAGCACCCACTTTTTTAAGATTAGGTGGAGAGTGAAAACGAGGCACAGCCTTAAGCAGCTGTGCATAGGATCCCGGAGCATCCCACACACACACGCAGCCTCGCAAGAAGACAAGGCTTATCCCAGGCTTGCCCTTTTGAGCTCCCAGTGCAAGTCCTGGCTGGGCTCAAACACTTGTAAGACCACGCAGGGAAGACCTTTGGCAGCTGATGATTTTGGCTGAGCCCTGCAGGAACTCTTTAAGATATTTTTTTTTTTAAACCAGGAGAAAACGTTCAGAATAGCTCATCAGTCACAGCACCATCAATCGCATTGGAAGCTGCTGACAAGTACAGATGGGTTTGGTCTAACGGAGAAGAGTTCACGTGCTACAATCACCACTTTGAACAGCGGTGGGCATCCGACTTCTTGGTCACTAGTCACCAGCAGAAGTTAAAGCGCAGGGCAAACAACCTGCAGGCACCAACAGCACAGCTTGGACCTGGAACCTCAGTAAAACACACCGTACCCCAAAACGCAACTCCCAAACTCTCTGCTGCACCAGCGCTAAGCGGTCACCTTGACATTTATTCAGTCAAGTCCACACCACTCACGGACCTACAAACAAGGGGTTCACAGCAGAACCAGCACCCTACACCCTCATCATTTGGACTGAACTTTTAGCATAAAGAAGAGGAAGTTCTAGACAGCAGGACAAGGAAGCAGAGGTGCAGAAGCATCTCTCTATTTACAGGCTCAGCCAGCCAGGCAGGGAACTCGGGCATGATCCACAGCTGTTGGTTCTTCCTGCCACCTTGCAGTGGCATTGCAAGGAGAACCCAAACGCCAGCCTAGACAGACCGAGGTCAAACCTTCACTGCTAACTGCCAGTGCACTCTAATGATGCAAATTGCCACAGCAGAGCTGACTGGTTGGGAAGCACAGGGAAGCAGGGTGCCATCCTCAGCAAGAACACGCTTCTCATGAGGCACGTTAGCTGTATACATGCTAAAGACCAAATGCCCACAGCCACGATCAAGGCCTGGATTAAAAAGCTGGTGGGCTCCTCAAGAAGAGCAGGGGTGGAAAAAACATCCTGTCCAGCAGGCTCGTGGCCCAGAAGAGCTTGGAGCAACGGGTGGCCAGTCAGCGACCATCACCCAGTCCCACTGCCCTGGTAGCTATGGGGGCAGCTGGCTGGAAGTGGCCAGGCCGCCTTCCCCAAGCTCATGGGTCCGAAGTAGGATTTAGGTTCACATAACGCAGAGAACTTCACAACAGTTTCATGGCACACCAGAGTTCCTTGACAGTTCGCTTGTCTCTTAGAGCAGAAAGGAGTGGGAGATAGAGCGGGTGGTCCCCGCCACGGAAGGGACGTGCTTGGTGCCTGTGATCAGTGGCAAATCTGGAATTGTTTCAGTTCAGCCTGTGCCCTCAGCAGGGCACACAAACCCAGCTCAGCCAAGCAATCTCTCCAGCTCACAGTGAAGTCCAGGGAGGTGAAAGCTCCCACCACCGCAGCCAGCGTCAGCGGACAAGCAAAACCACCTGAGCCTTCGCCAAAGACAGAGGAAGGAAAAAAGAGGCAGACATCAAATGCCCTGCTTTGCTCCTTACCTCGTATTCCTTAATAGTCCCCTTCCAAGTGCAGCCACTGTTAATACAGACCGCAGGCAGGCTTTCCACCTCCCGACGAGCTGCGTTGTCTGGGAAAGCCTGAAATGGAAAAAACGAGCAAACCACAACAATTATTGAGGGGCTGCAGTTTCAGTCCAGTCTCATAATCCTTTATTAAGACTTTATTAAGGCTCCTCCCAGGCCAGTTGCCACATCACACCCTCAGAGGTGTGCTACTGCTAAACAAATTGTTATGACAGCGTTTAAGTAGGCCACGGCGACATTAACACGAGCTGGGCTTTACTCGCTGGGGAGCACACCACATTAATCATAACTCTCACTGCTGAAGAAAACGTTTCCTAGGAATAAGGGATCCTCAGAACTTGTGCTTTAAACAAAAACTGCAAGTGCTAGTAATGACATCAGTGAGCTGCTTTATTTTTTAAAACGTATTTTTACTTACCGAGCTTGTTTCCAAAATAGAAATTCCTTCTTCATATATTCCTTCCTGAATACAGCTGGCACACTTTTGAGGTCCAGCACTAGCAGACAGAAAAATAATCATCAAACACAACAAAAAGAGACTGATTTAACGATATGGTAACTTTATGAAATCAAAGCATTTTCTTATTTTTAAACCAACACATTGAGCCTTTGCTCGTGTGTCTTTCTGAGGCTCGTTTTGGCACAACCACCATACGATGGCTTTTAGGAGCAAGTTCCTTCAGTAGCTGTGACGATGACTGAACGAGATGGGTGGTCCACCTGAACAGCAAAAACAATCCAGGAGATTCTGGGAAAAGGTACTCTGAAGCAACCCCCAGAATAAAAAAAGCAGGTCAGAGATTGCACATTCCCTTAAAGAAGAGCTGATGCTGAACCTCAATGATTAAACACAGCTCCCTCGCTGAGAAGGCCTTGAAAATGAGACTTTTATCTCCTTTTTTTGCTTGAAAATGCCTTTTCGAGTATTTTGTCTTCAGACTGAAGGCCCAAAAGTTACCTTATAATTTTCTTCAGACAATAGGAACAGTAGCGATGTCCGCACTGAGCTTGGAACGGCCTCCTCAATATATTCTTGCAATCGGAGCAGAGGTATTTCACCTCCAGCTTAGTTCCCAGGATCTCCTTTGCAAATCCAGGCTGGTTTAGATCCAAAGAGCCAGGTGGAGTAGAGTTTGCTGCTGCCATGTGAACGAAAAAGTCTGGCTGTATCTCCAGAGCCTGAAAAGAAAAATATTTTCCCTGTATTACTCACTGCATATTACACTGGCACCCAAAACCCAACCGCACAGGTAAACACACCGGTGTAAATCACAAGCCTGCCTCCACCTCGTTAAAAATGCAGAAAGAAACTTTACAGTTAATTTTAGAATTAAATTCGGAACAAAGAGACAGGGCAGACAGACCTCACTAAAATCCCCATCCGAGTTTACCGAAATGCAGCCTGTGCGGAGAAATCCAGGCTTCTGACCCAAAACAAGGTAAAAAACCATCCTAAAGCTGATCGGGACCATAAACAAACTGCCTCAGTCCAACGAAAACCTGTAGGGACCGAGGGAGGTAACCACAGCCTAGCACGGCTTATTTTCACATCTGTCAGTTGCCAAAAAGGACGGTAATTCTGCCCAGGTCCCGGGGAGATGCCGTGGCCACAGCGGAGCCCCGATTTACCGGCAATGCCCACGCAGGCGGCCAGGGCTCTCCAGGGGGCTGGAAAACGAAGACGTGAGAGGCACGAGTGAATCACAGAGGAGAAAAAGAAAGAAGCGCGTTCGTTTTGACCACTTATGATGATCTAAAGGTGCATCTCCGCCCTCACGCCCTGCGACGACCCCCCACAGCCCCCAAACCGCGCGCGGCAGCAGGCCCGGTAATTGCTGCGCGGCGGAGGGAGCAGCGGGGCTCGCTGCGCCCCGCACGCGTGAAATTTCGGG